ATATAACCCGACCCGCCCGGCCCCATTAAGCCCGAACCCGTACGGGCCCTATAGAACCCGAAAAATTCCAGCCTGCCAACAGCCCGTTAACCCCAGCCCGATAACAACCCGCCCCGAAATCGAACGGGCTGATATTTTTTGTGTCCAGCCCGTCCCAGCCCGCCCGATAAACAGGTATAATATTTAAGTTCTTTTTCCTTTTTGTATTTCAACGGACCATGTGCTAGTGTGGGTTGGTAAGCTTGCAAGTCAAAATAACCACAACTTGTTGTAAATTTAGTGAATCTTACGGGAATGTATAAAAAAAAGGATTTTTTCCTTCCTATACCATATATGAACTTTTATTACCAAATATGTGCATAGTATCTAAATTACCCGCCTAGTCCATATTTTTCCTACAATTTCTGTGCCATTCGTTTATTAAGAATTAATAGGGCAGAATCTTCCCTGATGAAGCTACAGTGTGTTTCAACTCAAAGCTATGATTCACGATTGATCTTCAAACATCCATACACTTAGGCAAACTTCACGTTGCAATATGGCAGTGACTTTGAATTTGGCTAGAGAGAAGATGATGCTACAGTAAGTCTTAAAAACGATTTTAAGATCTGTTGCAAATGATTGTAGATTTTAGGAAAAAAAACAAAAGGAGATTGTTAACAATGAGAAGGGTGTTCTTTTGGGACCAATTTTGAGATGTTACCTTGCCGGATGCCGGAATTATGGCCGATCCAGATATTTTCCACCATTGATAGCTATTAAAAAGCTTGAAAGCTTTGAATTCAAATTTGGATTTTCAAAAATCATTATTTCTTTGGATTGGGTGTTGTTGAAAATAATCGGGAATATGGTTTGGAGTTTATATCTCAATTTTGAGGGGTTTTGGTGAAGATTAGACTTGGTTTTGACTGAATTTCAGTTTGAAACTCGAAGAAGAAGAAGAAGAAGACATATTGCAGAAATTGTAGATAAATTGTAGATTATTTGTATTCTGATTGTAGATGCTTTATTTTCTGTTTTCACAAATAAAAAACGGCTAAAACTTCTACAAATCTTCTGAAAAAACGCAATTATGTCAAAAATACCAATTATACTACAATTGAATGAGAATTGGGATAATACAAATAATTTACAATTTATCTACAAAATATCTACAAACTAGGTACATTGAATTTTAATATCCCAATTGTCATTCAATTGTAGCATAATGATTGTAGATTTGAGGAAAAAAAATAAAAGGGGATTGTTAACAATGAGAAGGGTGTTCTTTTGGGACCAATTTTGAGATGTTACCTTGCCGGATGCCGGAACTATGGCCGATGAATAGTGATTTCAGAAATTGTAGAAGAAGAAGACATATTGCAGAAATTGTAGATAAAATGTAGATTATTTGTATTCTGATTGTAGATGCTTTATTTTATGTTTTCACAAATATAAAACGGCTAAAACTTCTACAAATCTTCTGAAAAAACGCAATTATGTCAAAAATACCAATTATGCTACAATTGAATGAGATTTGGGATATAAAAATTCAATGTACCCAGTTTGTAGATATTTTGTAGATAAATTGTAGATTATTTGTATTATCCCAATTCTCATTCAATTGTAGCATCTACTGCTGCTCGATCTTGCAATGTCGAAGTGTTGGTCGTAAGTTTTACAGCCTTTGCATAATCCATAGGTGTTGTCGTGCATGGCTGGGTGATGTTAGGGGGAGGTTGGGGAGGAGGCCCAACGAGTGAGGGTAGCTGGCCAGTGGCCATAGTGGCCATGGCTGCACTGCATAAAGGAGCAGTGATCTATCAACTCTAACGTTTACCTTCAGGAATCTTGAAAAACATAGATCAACCCAGATTTTCACGACAGCACTCTCTTGCACCAAAGATAATTCTTTAGCACCTTAATAACTATGACAAGAAATGCATCAGCTTATGCTAATTCGATGCTACAGTAGTTCCGAAAAACTTTTTAAATATCTGGTTTTGATTTTAGCTTCAAACCCGTGAATCACGCTTAAAAACAAACCATCCAAGTTGATCTTCAATCATCCAACTTCACGTTACAATAAGTAGAAACTTGCAAGGGCAGCAAACGTTGAAATTGGCTAAAGAGAGCTCGATGCTACAGTAGCTCTTAAAAACAATTTTAAGATCTGTTGTGAATGATTATAGATTTTAGGAAGAAATCAAGCGGAGATTGTTCACAATGAGAAGGGTGTTCTTTTGGGACCAATATTGTGACCTTACCTTGCCGGATGCCGGAGTTATGGCCGATGAATAGTGACGGAATCACTATTCATGGTCTTCCTAGAGAGAAGGGAGAGGATTGTGACCTTAATAGGGAGATGGTATAGAATTGGTAATTTGGTATACTAAGTGTAATTAAGTCAAACCTTAAACATTGAGGGTAATAAGGTTTCCTATGTGGCATAGGAATGTAAAAATCCCATAAAAAAAAGACACCATTTACCAATAACTAGCCATTTTAGTCATGCTACAAAAATAGCCAAAAAAACTTACTAATGATATATAACATTAAGAAAACATAGGAAAAAAAAGATTTTTTTCTCAATGCGTATTGTTGTGATTCGTTGAAAATACATAGATGAGGTAATATACAAATTTAACGTTTTTTGAAGGTGAGTTGGACTAGTTTAAAGTTAAAAATCATTACCAATGATATATAATAGTAAAAAAATCAGGCAAAAAAGGGTTTTTTTTTCCAATGGGTATGCTTGGAATTTGTTGAAAACATATAAATGAGGCAACATCCGAAATTTGAGCAAGATTGGAAGTGATTTGGATTGGTTTGGTATTGGATTTCGTAGTTAAAATTGCATTTTAATTTTTTTCTGCAATACATGTATCAAACATGAATCACGCATGTGTCTCACACCAGGTATACATGGATATACATGTGATACATATATGATACACAAAATGATACAAAATATGATACACATATATTCTTTTCCATGTTCATCTTCTACTTCAAATTTTCAATTCAAATCATCTCAAAATTACACCAAATCATCCAAAACTGAGAGTCAAACTCTTTAAGATATACCGATCTATTTCGACAACACTCACTCAAAAGAAAGCAAAAAATTGCCCTTTTATTGGCTACAAATAGCTAATTGGCTAATATTTTTAGCTAATATTAATAATATTTTATGAATTGGCCGAATTTTTGTACTAATTTGCTTATGGTATGACATAACTAGTAATTTCCCGTAAATTTATATTTTAAATCTCCAATGTCTTGTATTTGTGATTTTCTATTTCACTTTATATTTTTTTCTACTTAAATTTAATAAAATTATTTTCAAGTTAATTTTACTTCAAAATTAAAGCCTTCTACAAAGTAAATTCTCATTATCTTTAATAAAATTTACTAAAACTTGCAATTAGTTTTTTATTTGTCTTATATTAAAATTGGGTATAAGTCCTCTTTCTGTAATTATTGACATTAATTTAGTTTGATTTGTAACTCTTTCTTACGTCTTCTATCTGTAAATAATAGTAACTTGTTAATTTTTAACACAAACATATTTTATATTCTGTCAAATATCTTAAAGATAATAAATTGATTTATTTGTTAACATTTAACAAAATCATGAATTTGCTGAAGTAAGATTTTTAAAACTAAAATAGTTAAATTATTTAAAAAATAAAAGTAT